ATCAGAAAGTATGGGAGGTCATTCCGAAGTTAACCGACTCGTTTGTTGCACCATTCTCTAGCCACCATAGAAATCCCGAAGGCCATGTTTAGACTCGAACACTTTCACTTACATAAACATCGAGTGTGGGGATAGCAACTCAACATAATGAAGAAGATTCTCATCACAGAGACGCCGACCAGAATTTATAAATTATAACATTTAGGTTCTGAACTATTTGTTGAAGAGTCTTCATCCAGAAAAGCTATTTCGCCGCGATCGACATAGGTGCATAGGCTGTTCGGACAATGAGGAGGACTTGGATGGCTATTAAAATAGCAGCAGAAATGAGGAGATAAAACCTGATGGCGCTTGGAGCAAAAAGAATCTATTGGTCAAAACAAACGAAGAGGACATTACAATGAACGTCATCCAATGCTATGCACCTAACAACGACTACAATGAAGACGTTGAAAATCAATTCTACGATAGGCTACAGTCAATCGTCGATCAGTGCCCAACAAAGTATTTGACCATTCTGATGGAAGATTTAAATGCCAGGGTTGAAATGGACAATATTGGATACGAAGGCATCATTGGACAACGTGGAGTGACTGGGAGAAAGGAACGAAAAAGTTGATATATTTGCGAACCAACGTGTCTTCAATAAACTAGTCATAGGCCGCACTATATTCCCACACAAACGCGTTCACAAAACCACATGGAATTCAGCGGACCACACTACGCAGAACCGAATTGACCATATCTCTATCAACAAAAAATTCAGGAGGACGACGGAGGATGTGAGAACCAGGAGAGGAGCTTATATACCATCAGATCATCACTTGATGGTCGCCAAGATGAAATTAAAAACTTAAAGAGCACTGGACAACGGCGCGGACATCACAAAAGTTTAATACGGCCTTTCTTCGGGACGCTGAAAAACTCAACAAATTCAACATAGCCCTCAGCAACAGGTTCCAGACCTTTCAGGTATCAAGGAGGCAATCGTTTCAACATGTCAGGAGGTTCTGGGCCAAAAGAAGCACCACCACAAGGAATGGATCACTGTTGGTACACTGGATAAGATTGAAGAAAGGAGGAACAAGATGGCAGCAATCAATATCAGCCAAACCAGAGCGGAAAAAGCCAAGGCACAAGCCGAATACACAGAGGCAAACAAGCAAGTGAAGAGGAGCATCAGAACCGACAAACGTAAATATGTGAAAGATTTAGCAGTGACAGCGGAAAAGGCTAAAAGAGGAGGAAACATAGGACAATTGTATGAAACAACAAAGAAACTTGCTGGAAATTACAGTAAACCAGAACGACCGGTGAAAAGCAAGGAAGGCAAAGTAATCACCATTATTGAAGAACAACAGAACAGGTGGGTAGAACACTTCAAAGAACTCTTGAATCGATCAGCTCCACTGAACCCACCCAAAATCGAGGCAGCACCCACAGACCTCCGAATCGTTGTTGGCCCACCAACAATTGAAAAGATCAGCATGGCTATCAGACAAATCAAGAGCGGTAAAGCAGCAGAACCAGACAGCATTCAAGCAGAGGCACGGAAAGCAGATGTAGCCGCAACTGGGATATCTGGAACTCAAGACAACTGTCAACCAATACCAAAGCCAGAATTTTCAATACAAATGTCAAGAAAGTTCTACTTTATGGGGTGGAAACCTGGAGAACTACGAAGGCCATCATGCAGAAGATACAGGTGTTTATTACCAGTTGTCTTAAAGAGTAGAAGTTGAGTCTATAGTCTGTTCTGCTATGTTGAGTCTTCAATTTCTGGGTGTTAACCCTTGGGTTTGTATTGGGACTAAGCTTAAGTAGATGTTTAAGGGGATGTCCAGAAGTGTCAAGGATACTGTAAGCCATTAGAAGGTCACCCCTAAGACGCCTTTACTATATTAGATAAAGGTTAATTGATTAGGAGTGCTCTTCGTGAGGTTTGAATTTGAGTCCCCGAAATGATTTCGTGGCTCGCCGTTGGATACACTCCACAGTGTCTTTATCCTTTTGGAAGGAGGGAGAAAATATTTTTTACGTGCTCTAAATGGGGACGAATAAAACTGTTGAAGATTACGTGGAATGTCCTGCTGTCAAACTGGTCAAAAATGCGTTTCAATGTTACCAGTGCAACGTTCGCTCGAAAAGCGTTTTGTCACAGTTCGCGCACGAATTCAAGTCGTAGGTCACCAACACTCCTAAATCTTTTTCCACTTGGGATACTTCTACAGAGGAGTTTCCTAAGTTGTAACTGTAGTCTGCAACATATCACAGATGGACTACTTTACACCTTAAAGTGTTGAAGTTCAGTCCGTTGTCATCTGCCCAACTTTGAAGTCGAGTCAGATTCTCCTGAAGTGCCGGTATATCCTCTTGATTGCATATTTCTTTCCAAAGTTACACTACATCAGCAAAAAGCAATAAGTCATACGAAACTTGTTGTGGAAGATCGTTTTTATAAATTAATAAAAGAAGAGGTCCTAGTATTGAGCCCTGAGGGAATTCACTAGAACATTCCATGGCCTAAGAGAAAGTGAAGTTAATTCTGATTATAGGTGGTTTGAAATTCAATCTTTTAAGCTTATTGATAAGACATATACATGGTTGACCCTATCAAAACATTTTGCGAAATCAAGGTAATTGATGTCAACCATCCCCTTGCAATCAAGGATGCTTTTCCATCTGTCCACTGCAGTCAGTAGGTTGGTTATGCAGGAGCGACCCTTCCTGACACCATTCTGTTGGGTTGAGAAGAACTTTATGGATAATAAGTAGTCGTGTATACCATCGCATATCAAGGATTCCATAATTTCTGATGATATAGAGAGAAGAGCCACCGGTGGTAACTAAAAGGTTCGACCTCCATCGAAAATTCGTTTGATGTGAGCCAAATTTCTGGTAGTTTGCCTTGGGAACATCACGTCAAGCGGTGTTGCCAGGATTGAAGCTGCTTCCCTCAGTATAGCAGGATGAACCATATACAGGTCAGAAGTGTCTTTCTTAGATGCTGCAGTTTAGGGAACACCAAGTCGGCACTCAGGCTAACTTCGAAAAGCCCTGTGCAGTTGCAGATGAAGCTTTCATCAGTGTGGTTGATGTGGGTCAGTTAAAATGTCCGATAGTATTGTTCAACTGAAAGGTTAGCGGCATTGCTGTCGTTATTGGTCGAACCATTAAGACCAAGCAGTTGAGAAACTCCAGTTTTGGCTTGTCGAAGAGAAGCTGCATAACAGAATAAGCTTTTCGGATTGGCGAAAATTTGCCACAAGTTTTATTTGGTACTGAAGCCTGTTTTCTCTTATTGCCTTTGTGCATATGTTCATTGAATATTTGTAATTCATGTACGCTACTTTGTTACTAGTTCGTATGTATTCAGCCCATTAGTGCCTTTTGAGGCTTAGCAAACGAAGAGTGTGGTTCTTGTTGATTGGGGACCGTTTGAGGAAGTGAATGCTTAGTAGCACATAAGAGCTTGTGCAGTAAGAAATCCCAATGATCACCCACTACAAATGGACGGTGAACATCCCATACCACCTGTTGTAGATAGTCCTGTAAAGCTGACACATTCAACCTTTTGAAATTCTTGCTCTTGTTGTTGGTGGGATATCTTAGGTCGGTTTTACTGACAAAACTGAAGGATAGGACGGCGTGGTTGCCTTTTCCCAGAGGAGCCACGATTGAGAGGTTTTCAAATAGGAATTCCTCGTTTGTAAATACCCAGTCTAAGCTCGATGGTATCTGACTGTTTCAACAAAGAGTTGCCAACTTCACATTTTCGAATAATCCCAGATCCTCAATGAGACTGAGCAACCGAGCTTCAGTTGAGTTTTCACTTCCAATACACGTATGTAAGTTGATTCTAGGAAGATTGAAGTCCTCTAGAATCAGGATATGAAAGAATCCGAGACGCGTAGAGCGGGTTAACTCTTCCAGCATACGATTGTCATACTCGATGTCAGCAGCGAGTAGATGACCGAAACTAGACACCTCGAGGTGGTAGATAATCTTACTGAGTACCATACGGATTCATCAAGATTGAGAAACTCTTGGTTGTGAACTTGGTGTAACTACAGTCATGAACGTTTGTATAAGGCTATTCAACCCTCAAGTCCTATTTTTCTGTCGTTGCGAAACAATGACACCCAGATATTGCTAGCTAATGGTCCGTGAACTGAGAAGATACCCAAGTTTGAGATATTCCTATCAGATGAGCATTATTACCTTTGCAAAGTTATCGTAGGTCATCCATTTTATTTGGTAAACTTGCGACGTTCATGTATAAGCAGTTTGTGCTTTCAATTTCAAACGCAAGAGCGTCTTCCTGTTTGTCTGTATGAGCCTTAAGTGAATGGACAGATAGCCTACCTATACAAAGTTTTCCGAGTTGATAACCCTTGTCCTTTACATGTTCCTTTTTATGATCAAGACAGTCCACAAGTAGAATTGTCATATTCAACTCGCCTTTGTGCTTGATTCTGGAGTCATGTAGCCTATCCAGATGCACATGGATTGCAGTTAGCAACTGACGTCTGTTAGTACGAAATGCTTACAGAGTAGCAGCCGACATATGGGAGAATGGGAAAGTTATCTTCATTAGCCGGGGTCTAGAATCTCCTTACAGTCGATTATGTTGAGATAATACGGTGTATTATTTTCATGATGACAGACGTGATTTGTATGCAGCAGTGGAAAACGGAGAGCAACACGGATAACAACAAGATCGAAAGCATGATGAAGTATGCAGAGGACAACTGATGGAACATGTGCAAGTAAGGTATTTTATGTATGCTCTTCATATTTTACGCGAGTACTCTGCAGTTTTGAATGAAACGATAAATTGGTTTATAGTACCCGAAATCTTATTAAATCTAACAGTCATCATTATTGTTATACATCTATTTTTAGGGGAGCTGTTACACATGCGTTCAAGTAAAATAACGCTGTGTTTTAGGTACAATGCAGATTTCCGAATTATTTCTGTTGTTGTCTTCACTGTCGGTAATTTTACGTCGTAATGTCTCTAGAAGATTATTGTTGATGCGCTCGATTTTCGCCTATCTAGTAGCGTTTGTTTTTAACAAATTATCATCAGTTCAAATGCCTAATTGATATGAAATTTTGTTACTCAAATGTAAAAGAAAAAGGGACTTTTTAATTAATTATTTCTTCATCTCAACTATTTAGGTTTGAAGGTCAGTGTTGTTTATGAATAGTGGGGATGCAAATTAAGCTTTGTGGCGATGCAAAGATTAGTGGCTATACTGTCATCTTTGTTTATCACGAAAACTCCATTTCTATCACAGCCATTAAAAACGGCTTGTGGCACACAGTAGGTTTGTTAATCCTTATTGGTCTTGACCAGTGATAGTGGATTCTGCGAAACTTGATGAGTTATGTGACCTCGTCAAGCAAACGCGTAACCAGTATACACAGAATCTGTCGGAGTCTTTTAGTTCTTCTGACCCATCTAGCTGCTTTACTTTGAGAGAAGAGGGAGCAAATTTAAATTTCGTGTGGTCCAAAGAAATTAAAAAAGGCATTAAAGTATCAATATACATTCTGAATGCTATTCTAGATCATCTTCGGATGTTTTCACTTACAACCTTCATATAATCCATTGGAATCACTCAGCGAATTAACGGGTTTAATCGCAAAGAATCTCAAAGAATCGATTTTATGCTGCAGTTATTTTGAGAGAGAAAACGAGAAGCTTAAGTCTTTGGCTGATGTGTCCGTAAAGGTATAATGTATCATGCCTTAATGGTTTTCAGAAATATGAAGAAGTGGTTTCTCAGATAGATGACAAAGAAATTATCCTACTGTCGAAGTTTTCAGCTGTTCTGAATGAAAAGAAAAGAAAGTTAGAGAGCTATAAGTAGTAGACTCCATTTCTGTTTTGACATACTCGTCTGTAGATGTCCAACTTATGCTTTAAGTGAAGATGACAAAACACCAGATAAATTGTCATTACAGGAAGATGTGGATGATTTAATACCTTCCAAGGACCACAGGAAACTAAAACTTGTCATGGGTCGTCGTAAATGAATGCTAAAGTAAGATTACCATTTACAAGCGTTACGTTTACTTGAGTGCTATTACAACTTTACAGTAATTGTGAATGTATTAGTATTGAGTTCCACCATGATGTTCTTCAATGTATCTTCTGCGATTACCGCTCTGTCAATAGATTGTATTTACTTACGTAACTGCCGTGCGAAGTTCTAGATGTATATTTTTACATCATAAGATGTCATTCTACATCAAGAAACTCTTTTCATATGTTTGTTTCCTAACTGTAACACACTTCTAGTGTTATGCACTAAGAAATAATGGTTTGTGTCGGCAATTTAAATAAAAAAGCTAATATAACACTACATTATCTTTGCCAGGGTTTTCATTCAACTCTTTCGCTTCGACATATGTATAATTAGTCTTGACAGCACAGGTATATCTTTGTGAGTCAAAGTTATCTTTAAGTTACTTCCGTTTATGTCATTCGTCTTTTTCGACAATGTGATGAGAAGACGAAAGTTATCAGAATTATGTGTTATATTTGTGCAATACATTTCAATCTGATATATTTGTTCAGATATTTTTATATGAAAACTAAGAGGTCAACTATACATATTAAAGGTAAGCCGTAACAAAGAAAAATAAAGTACAAAAAACGGTGTGATAACCACTCTGGATAATATATCAGTATTACATAGGTAGGCTAAAAGTGCGAACTAATTGTTTTTCAGCACATAAAGAGGGTTTCAGTTTCCGTATAGTCAAGGCTTCAGTAAGCCTTAATATACGCCTTTGAAGGCTTCTGTACAACACTGCAAGTCCTGACTTGATATCAATCTTATGACTATTCTCAACCAAATGTTTCTAAATGGAGGAAGGTTTTTGTCTATCCTGTGATCTTATTTGACCGTTGAAATCCATTTGTTTCTGCAGCCATTTGGGTATTTGTTCTGCTACCCTTTCGTCTGTTTTAATTTGGATATCTGGTGACAAGTTGTATGAATTTTGCGCCCATGCACATGACCGTCCTAAGTTTTCTGTCCATTATTTACGAGTTAATCAGTTATGTACCGCGATAATCAGTCAGTCAGCGACAACGTAGGACCAGGCACATATATGCATCGGTCCAAGTTGCTATACCTCGTTAGCACAAGATGAACACCAGATTCATAGAAGTAATTAATTTAGTGGTGGTAGTATATAAAGAAAGGTTGTATATAAGGATATAGTATAAGAAGGAAGAAAGTTATGAAGTAATTTTAATCTCAAGGTTTAAGGGAAGATATAGAGTGTATACACCTACCCCATTGTGATCGGTTCTGAGCCATGTCACCCAGAGTCTCCAAACATTGGTTACGATAGTCACGCGGACCCCAACCAGGTAGCCTGCATCTACCAACATGGCTCAGGCTAGAAGTTAGTGACTTCAAAAACTGATGCCATGTTTTGGTTTGGCCGCCCCTAACTCTCTTCCAACTATCCCCTACACTAGTCAACATTGCGCGTCGTGGTAACCGATGTTCAGGCATACGTAACACGTAGCCCAACCATCTCAGTCGATGAAGATTCATGACCTCATCAACTGATTTACCATCATTCCCTAATACCCTGCGTCTAACCTCACTATTACTTACCCGTTGATCCCAGCAGATGCGAGCAATATTTCTAAGACATCTGTGGCCAAATACTAGCAACTTGCGAGTATCTTCTACTCTTAATGGCCATGTTTCACAGCCGTAAAGTAGAACAAAGCAAAATGCTGCGCAGTATAGTCGTCCCTTAATTGGTAGACGGATATCTCGTCTTCTCCATAGGTGACGTAAGTTGGCAAAAGCCAAACGAGCTTTTTGAATCCGTGCTGAAATTTCGTCAGACACCAACCCATTAGGGCTGATCAGACTTTCAAGATAAGTGAAGTTGTCCACGTGTTCGACTACTTCACTCCGTATCCTTATTTCGGGTGTTGACGCAGGCCAGTCCTGGAGTAACAATTTACATTTGGATGGAGAGAAACGCATCCCAAACATCCTGGCATTATTACTCAGTTCCAACAGAAGACTCTGCATTTTGTCAGTGTCTTCACCAAACAGGACTGTCATCTGTGTATTCTAAGTCGATAAGTGAACCTCCTGGTAGAAGATCAATTCTTGAAAATTCAGTCGACGAGAGTGTTATTTCCAGCAACAGGTCTATAATGAAGTTAAACAAAAATGGGGATAGTGGACAACCTTTTTGGACACCACTTGAGGTTGTAAAATCATATGACAGTTCGTCATAAGCTCTCACTCCACTAATAGTGTTCGAGTAAAGAGCCTTCACAAGGTTTATGTACTTCTCAGGTACACCTTTCAATGACGGACACTGCCACAGAACCCCTCGGTCTACAGAGTCAAATGCTGCTTTTAAGTCAAGAAAAACTATCATTGTCGGACACCGATAAGCAAGTCTGTGCTCTAAAACTTGACGAATGTACCGCGATAATAGTGCTTCTAGTAGTATCTGTTATGATTAAGATGGATGTCTTGATATAATAAAAAAGTCGTGTCAGTGTTCTCCGTTAGTGGATGATGTATCTTAACCTATTTTGTGTTTCCAGTGTGTTAAAAAGTGTCTTCTATACTTTTGTATCCAAGCAGAATTATAGTATACCTGAGCCTAGAGGAAGTATGTACGTATCCCCGGCCATGTGATATACGAATCTTCGTAGTTTTCTGTCATTATTACACTGAACTGCTGTATATCTTTCTGTTAATCAGCTTTTATCTATATAAATTAAATACTCCTGCAATTTGCTCCATGTTTTCCAGTAAATTGTTTCAAGTTCTTATTTACAACCTGTTGTTTTTGTGCGTTCCACTAATAAATTGAAGCTGAATTCTATAGATTTCCGCCCAACAATACAACTAAGATAAATCTTGAAACAGTATAAGGTTTTTGCGGTAGTTGCCTATAAATTTGTTTTATTTGAATAGCTTGTATGCGTGAAAAAAGCTCTGAAGTTTCGAAATACCATTTGTTAGAATGAAAACAGTTTCAAGATATTTTGGTTGTTTATGATGGATAGCAAGTGCAAAGTTGGCGTGCAAATTGGCCAACGGCATATGTGATTAACATCCTACCCCTAGCAAATGAAACCAATGGAGTTGATGTTAAGTATTAAACAGGTATTGACCTAATCAGCGTTTAAAATGTCACTTGTCAAGTGTTATAGTTAATAATATCGTAAATGAAAACAGCCGTGGTCTTGAAAAGAGTATTTTATTTGACCAACCTTTGTCATCTTACTTTACCGATCATAGCTGTTCAAACATAACGTTTTACCACAGTGTTTATTAAGCAGCTCAGCTGTTCATACAGAGGACAAAATGCACATGGCGTACTAATAGATTACCTAACCAACAACTCTGTCGTTTAAAAAGGATTAAACAGCGTTAATTTGTAGATCGGTTTCATCCTTTTCGGTTGGTGGTGGCCGTGTGACAGATTAAACTTGGGCTTTTGGTATATAAACAGCCCATCAATACCAAGCAATAATCTCATATGGATTTGAGCGTCCTATCGTACTTAATTGACAACAATCATGTAGAAGATAGGCATATCCGTCTACCAATTAAGGGACGACTATACTGCGCAGCATTTTGCTTTGTTCTACTTTACGGCTGTGAAACATGGCCATTAAGAGTAGAAGATACTCGCAAGTTGCTAGTATTTGGCCACAGATGTCTTAGAAATATTGCTCGCATCTGCTGGGATCAACGGGTAAGTAATAGTGAGGTTAGACGCAGGGTATTAGGGAATGATGGTAAATCAGTTGATGAGGTCATGAATCTTCATCGACTGAGATGGTTGGGCTACGTGTTACGTATGCCTGAACATCGGTTACCACGACGCGCAATGTTGACTAGTGTAGGGGATAGTTGGAAGAGAGTTAGGGGCGGCCAAACCAAAACATGGCATCAGTTTTTGAAGTCACTAACTTCTAGCCTGAGCCATGTTGGTAGATGCAGGCTACCTGGTTGGGGTCCGCGTGACTATCGTAACCAATGTTTGGAGACTCTGGGTGACATGGCTCAGAACCGATCACAATGGGGTAGGTGTATACACTCTTTATCTTCCCTTAAACCCCATTCTTCATCTACACTTTTCTCTTGATCTGCACAGAAAACAAATCTTTTCGAAGCTAGACCTAGTAAAAGCATACCACCAAATCCCGATGGCACCTGAAGATATTGAAAAACAGCCATAATCACGCCTTTTGGTTTGTTTGAATTCTTGAGAATTCCATGCTGGCTAAAAACGCCGCTCAGACGTTTCAGCGGTTCATGTATGAGGTTACAAGAGGTTTAGACTTTGTATTTGTCCATGTTGACGGTGTTTTGACCGCTAGCCCATCCATGGAAGAACATGTACAGCACTTACACATCCTCTTTGGTCGTTTCAAAAGTTATAACGTTGTGATCAACCCTTCAAAGTGCATATTCGGCGTCCCAGCTCTGGAATTTCTGATACATCACATCAACTCTCAGGGAATTAAACCACTACAAAAAAGGTTGAAGCCATCGTCAATTACCCTGAGCCTAAGTCGGTAAAAGCGTCACGTCGATTCGTTGGGATGTACAATTTCTATAGACGTTTCCTCCCTAACTGCGCTGGCACATTACAACCTATGACAGATTTACTGAAAATAGATTAAACTGTAGCGAAGCCCAAGAAAGACGGTGCCTTCACGTTACCTCCTGATGCCAGAACGGCCTTCGACAAAGCAAAATCCATGATATCCACTGCTACCATGTCACAACACCTAAATATCGATCCTACGACTCACCTCACCCTCTGAATCGATGCATCTCAGAAAGCTGTAGGGGCAGTTTTGCAACAGCATGTAAACGACAGGATTACGCCTACTGCGTTCTTTTCTAAACGACTATCGCCAACCCAAGAGCGTTATAGCACATTCGGACGCGAGCTACTAGCCAAGTATTTAGCAGTAAAGCATTTCAACTTTCTATTTCAAGAACGCGATTTTACTATAATGACTGATCATAAACCTCTATGCTACTCTCTCAACACGTCGTACGACAGACACTCACCACACGAAGCAAGACAACTGGACTATATTTCACAATTCACTACAGATATCCAGTTCATCAAGGGACACTCCAACATTGTCGCAGATGCCTTATCCAGAAAGAGAATCAACATGTTGGTACACAAACACGATATCAGTCTCGAAATTATAGGGAAACCTGCTAAGAAAAGTCTCACTTGAGCATCAAGCCTGAACCTATTTCTTTCCCAGACTCATCTATCATTTACGACACTTCAGCGGGTAATAATCGCCCCTTTGTGTCACAAGTCTGTCGCCGAAAAA